AAGAGTCTGAAGAAGGGTCTAGACCCGAAACGTCAGCTTTCCTGCTCCTCTGATGCTACTTGGCCTGCTGTGTTCATCCAGCTCTACACCTTGTTATCTCAGATTCTCCAGCATCAGCAGTTCCTACTATCACTTTAATAAAGATGGTTTCTTCTTCAGTGGGATTTAACTTGGCTATATTAAGGCAGGCAATTTTTTATTTGTCAGGAATTTCATTAATTAGGCCCTTAGATTTCCAGAATCTATTCACACTGGGGGACGATTTTCATTCTGCGCATTATCGGTGCCAAGACCATAATCTGGTTCCTTGCGAATATTGGTTTTCAATTCTCTTGTGTAGAGTGTGTGAAGTAAATCCTTCTCACATGAGTTCACTGATTCAGAGAGATTCACACAGTGCAGAAAGGGTACTTTGGCCCATCATGTCTGCACTCACACAGGAGATGGGAGAGATACTAAACAAGTATTTTGCATCAGTGTTTACTGTGGAGAAGGATATGGAAGATAGAGAATGTGGGGAAATAAACAGCAATGTCTTGAAAAATGTCCATATTACAGAGGAGGAGGTGCTGGACATCTCAAAATGTATAAATCCCAGGACCTGATTACGTGTACCCTAGAACTCTGTGGGAAGCTAGGAAAGTGATTGCTGGTCCCTTGCTGAGATATTTGTATCATCAGTCATCACAGGTGAGGTACTGGAAGACTGAAGGTTGGCTAATGTGGTGCTACTATTTAAGAAAGATGGTAAGCAAAAACCAGAGAATAAAGAGTGAACCTGACATTGGTGAGCAAGTTGTTGGAGGGTATCCTGAGGAACAGGATTTACCTGTATTTGGAAAAGCAAGGACTGATTAAGGATAGCCAACATGGATTTGTTCATGGGAAATCATGTCTCACTAACTTTACTGAAATTTTTTGAAGAAGTAACGAAGGGGATTGATAAGGGCAGAGCAGTGGACGTGATCTATATGGACTTCAGTAAGGCATTCGACAAGGTTCCTCATTGTAGACTGGTTAGCAAGGTTAGATCACATGGAATACAGGGAGAGAACTAACCATTTGGATACAAAACTGGCTCGAAAGTGGGAGACAGAGGTGGTGGTGCAATGTGCTTTTCAGACTGGAGGCCTGTGACCAGCAGTGTGCCACAAGAATCGGTGCTGGGTTCACAGCTTTTCGTCATTTATCGAAATAATTTGGATGTGAACATAGGAGGTATGGTTAGTAAGTTTGCAGATGACACCAAAATTGGGACTGTAGTGGACTGTGAAGAAGGTTACCATGGAGTACAATGGGATCTTGATCAGATGGGATAATGGACCAAGGAGTGGCAGATGGAATTTAATTTAGATAAATGTGAGGTGCTGCATTTTGGAAAGACAAATCAGGGCAGGATTTATACACTTAATGGTAAGGTCCTGGGGAATGTTGTTGTAAAAAGCAACCTTGGAGTGCAAGTTCATAGTTCCTTGAAAGTGAAGTTGCAGGTAGACAGAATAGAGAGGAAGGTGTTTCGTATACTTGCCTCTATTGGTCAGTGCATTGAGTATAGGAGCTGGGAGGTCATGTTGCGGCTGTACCGGACATTGGTTAGGTCACCTTTGGAATACTGTGTGCAATTCTGGTCTCCCTGATATAGGAAGGATGTTGTGACTCTTTAAAGGGTTCAGAAAAGATTTACAAGGATGTTGCCAGGATCAGAGGGTTTGAGATATGGGGAGAAGCTGAATAGGCTGGGGCTATTTTCCCTGGAGCATCAGAGGCCGAGGGGTGACTTTATAGAGGTTTATAAATCAAGAGGGTCATGGATACGGTGAATAGACAAAGTCTTTTCCCGGGGTGGGGCAAGTCCAACACAAGAGGACACAGATTTAAGGTGAGAGGAGAAAGATATAAGAAGGACCTAAGCGGCAACCTTTTCACACAAAGGGTGGTGCATTTATGGAATGAGCTGCCAGATGAAGTGGGAGAGGCTGGAACAATTACAACATTTTAAAGGCATCTGGATGGGTATATGAGTAGGAACGTGTAGAGAGATATGGACTAAATGCTAGCAAATGGGACTAGATCAGTTTAGGATATCTCGTTGGCATGGATGAGTTGGACTGAAGGGTCTGTTTCCATACTGTACAGGTCTATGATTCTATGGCATAACTACCACTAAAAGCGTGCTAATCCAAAATTTACCGCACTTGTATTATATCCCCAAATATTAAATATGCTTTGAAGGAAACTGAAAGCAATAGAACAAAAACATTATGAAGTATAGCATCTAGTTTTGGCATCTTCTGCATATCATAACTTCATATGCAGAATGTCTACAGTGGGAGTAACAGTCTGAAATGTGTAAGAGTTAGCAGCTGGAGTTGATACTTAAAGACCTCCCTGTATTAATCATATTTTTCTTTTAACCTGACAGGTGATTGTCTGCATGCCTGTCAGTGTAGACTGCACCATAAATTACAAAGCAAGTACAAAACACTAAGCAATACATTCTCTGACACTTCAACTTGCTAATTACTGGATACCAAAAGGAAAAATTCCAACAGCAATAAACCAAAGTCACCTCAAATCCTTCAAAACCAATTTGTGCACTGGATAGAATTCACAAGAGGTGGGATAATCAGGATTCTGCCAAGTTTATTTTTGAATCTTTTTTAAAGAAAGCAATATTCCTGACCAGTTCATCCATCCATCCAAATTTGATGATAAATCCCAGCTATGGAAAGTGTTTGATCTCAGTCAAGTACAATCACAAATTTGGTTCTATTTATACAAGGTAAAATTTCTTTTGCCCTCCTGGAATAACTTCAGCTTTCACTGGCTCTTAAGGTTTGGTAAGACATGGGGTAGTTCAGATAACTTATCAACCAAGAATGTTCTTTCTATTTCTCAAGGTTCAAGTCGTAATCAGGAATAGCACATTAACAGGACTGTCTCCAGCCAATTATGTAATTAGGATCCGACATTCCACTTGATACCAGGCAATGCAGTCAATAACATTTTATTTTATAATCATTACAAACCACATCAAGGATTGAAATTCCTATGTCCCAACCGGCTGGAGTTTATTTACTCGTTTCAAAAATGATTAAAGTCAGTGAAGGGAATTAGATGTTCACTAAAATTTTCTGATTGTACCAATTTGCTTTGAAGATCCATGTCCTACCTGGCTTTGGAACTTCCAGTATAGTCAGGAGAGAATGGTCTCTGTACTCTGCTGTGTCTGGTGATTCATTCTCATTCGAAACACTGCCTCCTTTCCTTGTCTCTGTGATGTTGCTTTGAGCCCATGTCACTTCGTCTTCTCCACGGATCGAGGTGACTGTGAATCTCTTACTCATCTCGCAAGAAAATAAACAAATGGCAACGCAAAATAAAAGTGTAATTAAAGAAGAAATCACTGAAAGACTAGGTCACTGCACGAAGCAATCTTCAGCACCTCCACACTGAATGAGTTGCTTCCTACTGGGCTTTATATTTACTCTATCCTCCATGGGTCTTAGTGCCCAACCTCGGCTTCGCAGCTCGTGTGAATAAGAGTTATTCGACTTTGGGGTGGGGGGGGGGGAGGGTGGTGGTGGTGAGGAAGCAGCACGTTTACAGTTAGATTTATTTCAAGCAACTTAATGATGTTTATTTATTGTATACTTTTTTAACAAATCACAATTTATGAATGAGAATAAAAGGTATCTAAGTGAAAAACCATTGTTACAGCAAAAGTTGATGGATTGATTTAATGGATATGCAGAATGAGCTTTGAATCCATGGTTATCGTGATGAAACAAAATATTGGATACCTGATGTTTGATGTGATAGATTGAGCGGTCGGGATTTGTGTGGAAATTAATTTTAAATTATCTTTATTTTTAAAATGTTCCTAAAGGGGTCACATTAGAACCAGTCTTCCCACTTTATGACTGCTGTCTGTCATTTACACACCTGTAACATCAACTGTAGTTCACTTTGTAGTCCTTGAACTGCTAAGACTCACGATTTTGTGTTCAAATCCCACTTCAGGGGTTGAAGGCGCACTGCACTGTTTCAGGTGTTGTCCTTCACATAAGATGTGAGACCGAGGTCCTTCCTGTTTAGTTGGATGTAAAAGGACCCGGGGTGCTATCTTTTTAAAAGGACCAGGTAATTTTTTCTTAGAAAGCTGGCCCATATCTATACTTCCACTAACTTTGCCAAAAATCAGATTACTAGCTTTATCATATGTTTAATGATATTCATAATTTTAAAAAGCTGGAATATGAATAGTCGTGCTACCACATAATCGAAGCAAAAACAATCTCGTATTTTTATTTCAGATTTACAGCTCCTCGTTTTTTAAAATTGCATTCAACAACATGGAGGCAAAGGCAAAATGTACATAATTTAGAGGGATGAATCTGTATTTGGAGAGGAGAGACTGAGAGGATTATCCATGCTTTTTTGAGGAATGCATGGATTTTGGGCGAATAAATAAAGACGCACGTACAATCTTTGGGGGAAACAGAGGAAGGGGTATAATGAGAATAGAGGAAGGGATATTGTTGCAACTGGAAGAAACGAATACTCATGGATTTTATAGAAGCAAAGTCTGCTCTCTGCCACATAATGGAATCTAGATTCAACATTTATTTGGAGAACTTTGTGACCCCATAGGATCCAGAAGTTTGTGCATATCAAACAAATACAGAAAATGCTGAAAATGTATAGCAGGTGACATCCCATCTGATAGATGAAGATGTTCAACTTTCCTTTGTGTATTTTTATTTTTTCATTCAGATAATTATAAAATTATTGTGTATTTGAATTTCCAACATCATCAGTTTTCTTGAGATTTCAATTACATTATGCAAATACACAGATCAGCACCTTCACCTGGGCAAGGATCCCTTTCCATTTTCCAAATCAGCATAACTGATGTGCTGGAATTTCACACCAATCATACACCATAATTGTGTATATTTTGGACATACTTGACTGGAAGTATGGACAGGGATTATTTGCATTGGATATCTTCTCACAAACTTGGAAGCGAGGAGAGTGTACAGAAAAGTAGAATCACTAAATAGCTGAGTGAGGATGGTAGTAGAGTTGGGGAATATATGAGGAACTGCTATGAAGAAAAGGAGCAAATGATTTGGGCCACATGGCACAATTTCAAATTTTGCAGATGATACACAATTTAGAAGTTCAATAAACATGAGGAATATAGTAACAGACTTCAAAAAGACATAGGCAAGCTCAGCAAACTCATGAAAATTGAAACACATCACAGAAAAGTATGAGGCAATAGAGTTTGGTAAGAAAATGAGTGAAGGGGATATAAGTTAAATGGACTCATTTTAAAACAAGTACATGAGGAAAGAGTTCTGAGGGTGCTTGTGCTTAAATCTTTGAAAATGACAGGACAGGTTAATAGAGCATTCATAAAGCATGTGGGATCCTGAATGGCATAAATAAAGGCGTATACTTAAAAAGCCAGAAGGTCATGTTAAAATCAATTTTATTATAATTGGAAAATCGGCCAGAGGGGACGTAAGGAAAATTGTTTTTAGATAATGAATGAATGGAGTCTAGAATGCATTACCTGATTGAATAGTAGCTTTTGAAATTATATTTATAAATATTGAAGATGAAACAATTGTCAGCATATGGAGAGTAAGTGATGAGCGGAAGAAACGGGATTGCTTTTCAAAGCAGCCAACAGAGAGGCTGAATGGCCTCACTCTATGCTCTACTGTTTTCTTCTTACATAAGTCAACTCTTTCAGCACAAGTTCCCCAAGGAAAATCCATTTTTGGACTTATTACACTACTGCTTATAGCTATATGTATCATATTGAACTAATTGATACAGTATTATTTATATCCTCAATGATAAAAAATTATGTGGACTAAAAATTAAATTGCCTAGTTCAGTGGTGGGTAGGGAAGAGTGGTTGAAGGGATGTGCAGCCAAATGGCTAACACACACGGATACAAAACACCACTTAAGAGCCTTTGAAACGAGCTGCAGAGTAATTGTTTGTGCAGGTCATTTTTACTTGAATCAGTCTGGATTACTGAATATTATCCCATTGAGATTCAGGGCATGTAGGCACAGGAAGTAAGATCCAAAAGTTAGGAATCCCAAAGTGTGAAAATTCAACCAGTTCATATCACATACCTTACCAACAAAGACCACTCTGTCCCTTAGGGCACTGACCTACAGAATTTTCTGGAACCAAGTGAGAAGAGACAAGATTCTCAGTGACAGCCCTAGCCATCCTGGTGCCAGTGTGTCTGATCGATCAGTGAATCAGCTCTTGTTGGCCAAAAAATTAAAGTTGATACAAACATTGACCTAGAATTTGTTACAACAGTAAATCTTGTGGCATAAATCAATAGTTAGGACTTTCTTTCCTCTTTGGTTCATCTTAAAGCAGGTTTGTTGCAACTTTCTGAAAATGTAAGTTGAAAACAGTAGTGACCAATCTATTCAATCTAAATACATTGAGATAAATAAAATTGAAGACAGATCAAATCAACTCAATTAAGGAGAGCCACAATAGTTGAATAACCCGGATCTTTTAAAATAAAACTTAAAATTACTTTTATTATAACACCTCATATCTGTACATATGTTCATTACAATCACAAACTCTTGCATGTCTGGGTTTAAGCTAAGCAATTCAGATGTACTGTAGTACACTTCGTCAGCCTGTCATGCTGCAAGAGATACAACTCAGTAAGATTGAGGCTAAAAACATTACACCATTAGGTCACATGCCACAATATAATGGTGACATCATAGTATGTCCCTTAATGGTGTATCATATATCTATTGTGAGATATAACTGAACATATGTTCAACAGTAAAAAACAAAGATATCTGATAAAATGAAGCAATCTCACAACGTTGGTGATAGGGGCTTCTGTGGGATTCTTGTGAGTTCATCACTGAAGTAAAGTCATGGTCTCTATGCCTTCTGAGGATCAAGAGGTCAAGATTGTATATAAAGTCAGAAGATTGGCATGGGAGGACGTGGCACTGAGCCTTACCACAAATTAGGTAGTCCGAAGGAATGCAAAGGTTTGTTGAGATTATTACATATAATTAAAGATTTACCCCTGTTAACATTTCAGACTCAATTTATTAGCCAGAGTTTAATGAGGAATCAGAGTTCAAATTGAATGTCAATTCGTCTATCTTTGGGAGATAGCAAACACTAAGTGGTTTTAAACATATATTGTCTACAATATGGAGATGGGATGTGTTAAAAATCAGTTAGGCCTTTGAAATGCAAGTCCATGACCCCATAAATAACTTCCAAGAACAATCATAAGATCAATTAAAAATTTCTATCTGAGCAGGATAAGATGCTCCTAATTCCTGCGAGCAGTATGTTGTAGTGACCCAACCCTGAGAGAGGACTACCGACAATGAGAAAGAGCCTTTCAGCTGCAGGTCAACATGGATTTACCAGATGTTGGAGTGAGCCAAGTGAATATTTCTGACTTTAGCCTGCAGGTACATAGCAATGTGGGAAAGCACAGGGCCATCCACCTTCATTGCTTTTCAAATGACTAAACCACAAGCTGCTTAGTAACTGCTCTGCACCCTACAGCCATTTCTTCCTCAGGTGGCATTCATGAGCCATGACCTCAGTAACACTTTGTTTGGTATTTTACTTGTATCTATCTCATGTTCTGGGTTAAAGTTGTACAATGTCAGGCATACCATCACAGCCGCATCAGGGAATGATCAGCCTTAGAATAAAACGTCTCCTACTTGAGAATCAGATTTAGAATTAGGCTTATTGTCATGTGTACTCATGTTACAAAAGAACAGGAGTAAAGTGAAAAGTGTACAATGTCACCAACAGATGGCGCCATCCTAGAGATGAGAAGGAATTTCTTCTCTCCTGCTGTAATTCAGTGTTGAGATTCTCTTCCACAGCAAGCACATCAGCCATGATCGTATTGAATGGCAAAGCAGGCTGTAGGGGTTGAATGGCCTACTCCTGCTCTCATTTCAGAGTTCTTATGTTAGGTGGGAATGCCGGTCCAGGTACCAGAAGGCAAGTTGAAGTAACACTAGTGTCTTCTCCACCTCTTGGCATGGGAACATATGCACTGTGTATAGCTTTGCTGTTGCATTCTTGGCCCTGTGGCAGGGCATTAACCATTATAGCTTTAACAGGAATTCCTAGTCAGTTAAAGACCTATCCAGACCCATAGAGCATGGAACGTACAAGCTTATGTGCTGAAGGACAATGTATCACAAGGATTTTCTGATGACTAAAATTGGCTTTCATGATCTGTAGTTTCAGTCACTGAAATGCATCTCATTTAATCTTTCTGACACTTTCGTGTTAACCGATATGACAGGCATACAGTGAATACCATTGGTTGTATTGATGGCCCTTCGCATTCTGGGGAATCCAGATGACTTATGGAATGTAATGGATTTCTCCCTTTCCTGTACTGGGATAGGTCACAGTCGAAGAGATCTGAACCCCTGGAGAATACGACAATGATG